CTTTATTTTTCTCTTTCATGGATGCCATGTTCTTTGGAAGCTTGTTTAGAGCAAGTTAATGGCCTCTTAGGCTTCCTCCACGTGAATAGAAGTTCACTTTTTGAATAATAAGAATTATATGTCACAGGGGGCATCAGGATTTTGGAGATGCTTGGGTGGGGCATGGCCACAGAAGGTTGGGAACCACTGCTCTAGTGTATTGATGTGAAATCTACTTTGGTGGTTATGATGGGGTGATAAGGGGCCTGGTTTTTAGGAAATGCACTTTAGAGAATGTGGCAGTGATGGGATATTTGCAGCTTACTGCCCAGCAGCTCAGGAATAGACTTTTTGTTACTGCATCTGCAATGTTTTTGTAAGATTTTTCTTATCTCAAAATTTTTGGAACAGGTTTTAAAAGTGAGACTTTAGGAAAAACTTAATTTTCAGAATATGATCTATGAAGGGAGGAACCTCAGTAAATGCAATAGCGATGGGGAAAGAAGTTGTTGCCCTTGCCTGTGCCTCAGATCCTTCTCTTTGTATAAAGCCAGGTCCTCCTCCTTCATTTCCTACTGACCCTTTCTTGCTCCAACCTTCCTCAGCCTCTCCCTCCTCCACTCCACAGCATGGTCAGCCAGGCCTGGAGTGGGAGGTGCTCACACTCACTGTATGCACCTGACCCTCCCTGTGAGCCAGGAGCGCCCAAGTAGCCAAACCAGAGAGAAGGGGTTGCAGCTCTTCTGAGATAGATCAACCCTGTAAGCAGTGTGTGTGTGTGTGTGTGTGTGTGTGTGTGTGTGTGTGTGTGTGTTCCTGATACATTTTGTTTCTGGGACTCATGGTTGCCATTGGTATTTCCCACACACCCACCCTATCCCATGGCTCTGCCTGCCATCTTCTGTTCTCCATTTTCTTGTGGTACAGTTGCCTTGGCCTACCCACTGGTCCTCACCATCTTGCCTCCAAGCTTCTGTTCTGGCTCCTTCTTCTGGCTGGTATTCCCTGTCCCATCACCAAGAGCTGGTTCTGTTTCTAAGGTGAACATAAATATCTCCTGCCTTTAAGTCTTCCTGACCCTCCTCAGGCTAAATTGTCTCATCGCGTGAGTACTGACACCCAAGTAAAGAGTAAGACTACTGCACTTGGTGAGGGATGTTTGTATACCGTGTGCTCCACACCTCACGTGGTCACTGGAGTAGATTGTGTCCTTTTATCACTTTGATCCTACAAGGTGTAATACATTCTATTGCCCAATCCAATGTGCTTAATTGAATTACCCCGGGAGCAGGAGATTAGGGAGGGTTCTTCTGAAGTTGGGGATGGTTTGCCATAGATGGTTATGTTATAGTGAGACCCACACATGAGGAGACCCTCACTCAGCTCCTGTTCTTCAAGGTAATGCAATTGATCAGAGAATGACTGAGCATCAACATGTATTGCTCCCTGTTTTACAAAAGGGACACATTGCATTTCCAGTGACCACATGAAGTATGGAGCACAAAATATAAAGGGTCCACCTGCAGGTGTGATATTGTGACTATGGAGAGCAGACTGTGGAGGCAATACCATGGTTCACCCCGCCACATTAAGGGGCACAGTATTATGTATTTCTCTCTGGACCTTGACCAGCACTGCTAGACAGCGGATGACGAGTACTGAGTAGGGGCGATGGGGGATTGAGAAAATGAAAGAGACAGATGCAGAAACAGTAGGGAAATCTGGGACTGGGTGGGAGAGCTGTCCTTTGATGGAGAGACAGTGACCCAGAGCCGGTGCAGCGTGTTTATTTATACAGTGTGATTCCAGGAAGTGCTACTAGAGTTTAAAACAAAGGAAATTATGAGAAATCATGGTTAAAGATCAAGCTATAATTTTTCATTCTTGTGGCTTCTTTGTAATCGTCACTCCTGGCTAAGTCCGGATAATTGCGTCCATTCCTTGAGTCTGGCTGAACTTAGATAATGAAACCCACCTGAGCTAAGGGTCAGGCTGATAACGTACCTGCCTCTGGCATGGTGTGTTTTCAGGATGTGGCTCTGCCAACGCCACTGGATTCAGCTGACAATAATGTAAGAAATGTGCTTTCCCAGGCGCTCTCTACAGCAGACTACTGGGGCCACCAGCTCAGCTGCTAATGCTTTGGCCACCACAGCCCCTGGACCAACCTGGAAGGTGCTGTGCAATGGGCAGGATGGGAAGGGAGAGTCCACAAGCCAGGGAAGGTGCCTGGCCAACCTGGGTTCCACAGCAGCAGGGAGGGAGTGGTCTGGTGTGAAGGGGTCATTTCTCTTCCCTAGGCTCAGTGGCAAGAAGGTGGGTTGGGAGTTGGTGGGGGGTGAGGGGCTGGTGTTGTGAGTTTTCAGCACAGGGGGTGGGTGAGGAAGGCCCTGAGGTGGGGTGGGGCCAGCCCTCCAGCAAGGGAAGGTGCCTGGCTGGCCTGTTTTCCACAACAACAGAGTGGGTGTGGTATGGTGGCAGGGGTTCATTTCTAATCTCTTCTAGACTGGATGGAGAGAAGGTGGATAGGGAGTTGGCAGGGGCGAGGGACTGGTTTTGTGGGTTTTCAGCACAGTGGGGGCAGGGAGGGAGGAGGGGGGTGAAGGGCACCTGCCTGGCAGAGCTCCTGACCTGGAGTAGTAGGGCTCATCACAACCTTCAGGATATGAGTTGCCTGGGGACCTTGGTTCTGGGAGTCTGACTCAGGCACCAGAAATGTTGCAACAGCAGGACCTAAGCTCACACCTATGGTTTCACCAAGAAATCCCATCTACAGAAAGGTGGGGGCCCTGGTGCTGTGGAACCCAGGCTGGCCAAGCACCTACCCTGGCTGGCTGGCTAGCCCTGCCACGCCTATGGGAAGCTGTGGCCTCAGCACACTGTGCCTAGAGAGTGCTGGATGTAGGTAATAAAATCAGAGACAAAACACAGGATAAATACTTGGGAGGCTAAAAGCAGCCTCCCTAGAAAGAGGCTGGGTCTTTTGCCAGTTTTGAGAACTGAGCCACTTCTGAGACCTGTAACCCATTACTAGAAGGAGAGGCCTGGTTCCAATGAGGAGGGACCCTTCAAGCTGACAGCAAGTGCCATGTGGCCATTGACTTGGCTAAATGTACACCGGGAAACAGAAACCACCCAGACATTCACATTGGATCCAGTGTGTCAGTTGACAGCATTTCCAGACACCAGAAGCATCATCATTGGTCCTGTTATGAAAGTGGTGCATGGGGGTGGGGCCCAGGTAATGAATAGACATCTGTCCCAGGCTCTGCTCACAGTGGTGTGTTCTCTTTCCTCCAAATTGATTGTTTAAACAGTGTCTTTTCCTCAATGAAATAACAGAGAAGAGTACTAACCTTAAACCCTCTGTAAGGATGCGGTGGTGTGATCCCTTTCGTAGCTCTATTATGTTTCCAGCCTGGTCAGAAGACGTTCTATAGATGGCATATATCACGTATGTCAGGCTTTGTAGATCAGAAGTCGGTTGCAACTACTCAGCTCTGCTGTTGTAGCATGAAAGCAGTGATAGACAATACTTGGTTGGGTGAATGTGGCTGGATCTCATTCTTGGTCCATAAAACCAAGCAAGCCTATGATCTGAGAGGTATTTGTAGTAGGACAAGGTGCTAAGGGGAGTTCATGGCCTTCCTACTGGAGGATCACAGCAGAGACCCCTAATGTTCTGAAGCAAGGCTATGTCTCTTGCCACAAGGAGACCCCCACTATTCAAAGAGGCTCCTGGTAAAGTACTGGGACCTGGGAGAGATGAGGCCTCTGGCTATGGGGCATCAGAGTTGTCCATGGTGAGTGTCATTAGGTCAGCTAGGCCCACTGGTCATAGAATAGAAGTGAGCAGGGCCACAGAGAACATGTCAGATATAAAGAGAGATGTCCCTGATCCCCACACCAGAAATGTTGCACCAGCACTACCCTCAGGTTGCACCGGTACTTCCTGCAGGGTCTCACAGGACTGACTGGAGCAGTTGCCTATTGCTGCATGATGCACATTCTCTCACACTGACTCTACCCAGAAGCTACAAGCTGGACAGTGATCAGCTCTGGCTCTTTAACACACTGAGGACAAATTGGACGGGACACCCATATCTGTGACACGCTACGTACTCTAAATGTTGGGTCCACAAAGAAGTTCAGTGGCCATATCTGGTCCCCCATTTCTTTGCATGTGGTCTCTGGCTGCTATGGCACCATGACGGTGGAGGTGTGTGGTATATACAGAGACAGGCCCTAAGTGGCCTGGGAAGATGGTAACATTCACCATCTGTCAGTTTATAGAGACCATCAGCAGACGTGAGCCCAAATCCATGACCATCACATGCTGTGCCTCCTCACTAGGGGGATAATATGGGTTTGGAACCCCAAAGAATTGGGCGGTAAAACGGGTTGAGCTGGGGAGAAGAGCAGGAACCATGAGGGCAGGTGTCTGAAATGAGTGCCTGGGGTTGCAGGTTCTGTGATCCCTGGAAGAGTTCGCTTTGAAGTTCTGGGTGAAGAGAACTGGTTCTGATGGAGGGTTTGCTGTGTGTGGCCAAGTGTGGGAGAGGGAAGGGGCAAGGGTTGTGTGGGTGCCTGTGGGTGGAGACCCTGCTGAACACTCCTGTCCTGATAACACCTCTTGTTCCTGCCTCCCCAGGTGTGCGCTGCTGGAGGGAAGGAGGGGTCCTGGGTGGACAAGTGTGTTGGGAGAGTGTGGGGTGTGGGTGGTTTTGTGGGTGTCATCAGGGCAGGCTCGGTATTCAGGAGACATCTCTCTTCCCCTCTCCTGGGCTGCAGTTCAGAGAGGCTCTGTGGGGAGGAGTTGCCAGAGCAGCTGCGCGCCCTAAGGCTGGGAGGCAGGGGGAGTGGAGAGGAAGGAATGAGGGGGAGGAGCTGTAACCAGGCTGCACAGCTCTGATTGGCGGGGGAGGAAAAGTGGTGTCGGCAGCCAGCAGGAGGCGGGAAGGACAAAATCCAGACGTGAGGCTGGGATTCCACCTGCGCTCATTCCCCTGCTGCACTTCTTAGCCTCCGGTCCTCCGCTCCTGGTCAGGAAAGCGACAGCCCGGACAAGGGCGGGGAGGAACGGTCTTGGCCTGGGACACTTTCTCCCGGTCCTCTGCGCCCCAGCTGCCCGCCCGGAGCCGTCCTCCTGTCCGCCTGGAGGGGAGCGCACTGGGCGGCTGTTCGCCATGGAGCGGACCCCGGGCTCCGAGTTCTGCCTCGTCGTCCTGCTGCTCGCGGTGCTGCCTGACTGTGCGCGGGGGACGCCCTGCGCCTGGGGGCGCGGAGGTGAGTTCCTATGGGGTCTCAGCGGAGGGCACGGGGAGGGCGGGGAGGGGGCAGCAGAGGCTTTAAACTCACTGGCAGAGCCCGTGGCAGGTCCAGAACCTTCCTCCTCCGTCCCCTCCACGGGCTCAGTACCCCTCGGCGTCCGGGCAGCTGGGTGCCTCCCGGGCAGAAGGGACAGGAAGCGGCGGCAGGAGAGAAAGTGATGCGGGGCCACTGGCCCGGGAGCGAAGGAGGAAAGGACGCTGCGGTGCCCGTCCGTTCTCCCTCCCGCCCAAGTCGTGCTTCTGGGGAACTGGGACCCCTGTCCCGGGACCCGTTCGCTTCTCAGACTCGAAACCCACAGACAGGAACGCCCTGTTCTCACGGCACGTTCACCCAGCCCTGCATCACCCAACTCTCTCCACCTCTGAACTTTCTGGGCGCTCTGCCAGCAGATCCAGGAGTTGTTGCAAATGTCACAGCGCGGATGTTGTAACTGGCCACTTCTCTGCAGACCCAACTCTGCAGGTTCTACCTCTCCCCACTCTGCACCAGCCAGCCTGTCCCACTTCTGTTCCCTCAGGAGCCCCTGCTCCCCTCCCCAGGTTTATTGCCCAATTGCTTGGCTTCCCCAAAACCAGTGCTTCCAATACCTTTTTATCCATGACATGAGCCTAATCACTCCTCAGCCAAGTGGCACTTTGCCTGTTGCCTGAGGACACACCAGCCATAGCCTCAGCTCCTGGAGCAGGAGGGACAGCAGCGCATTTTCCCAAAGTATGACCCTGGGTGCTCCTAACATAGAGCACCTATACCTGTGATTTATTACGTTGACATGGCCCATCCCCATTACTACTGGAAACCATTTTGGGGAGCACAAACTCCATCTACATTCCTGACCTTCAGCTAAAGTGAGTAGTGAGCTTTTGGAGAATTCTGGTGTTCTTCTCATCCATGCTTTCCTCTTTCCCTTGATAAACAAGAGTTTAGCTTTAGGCTTTCCCAGGAAGCAGGTTGATTGGACACGCTTCTGCCTTTTCATATTGTCTCCCCCTGGCATATTGACTTCTCTGAGCCATCTGGTCCCATTCCTCTCCTATGTGCCTCAGAAGTTCTGCCTTTTCTGTTCCACGCATTGTAGCCATGCCTTCTCCCAAGCTTGCAAGATCTATCCAAGCAGCAAGTTAGCACTACCTCCCTGGGCCATGCAGAATCCCATGACCCATAATTGTAAAGTCTCCCTTCTCCAAACTGGGAATGAATCCAGATTCCTCCACCTGACACCCAACTTCCTCAGCAGTAGCCCCTACATGCTCTCCATGTCACTGGAGGGTACTGGGCTAGTTTCTGACAATCCTCGGGCATCTAGAACTATCCTCCTAGCCACCTGGAATGTCCCTGCATTGGTTATGTTTTTATGATCAGAATTATCTTGGTAAACGCAGGGAGGATGTATCTGGAGATGTGGGGTTTCCTGGCAAGCAGATGCCTCCTGGTCCTCCTCAAGCAAGGGAGGGGTACCAACCTTCCCCTGGTGAAGGGAGGCACTGGGCAGGGTCAGGCCTGCTCTGCCAGCCCAGCCGTCCTGGAGATGGCCTTCCTGTCACAGAGATGGGGGAGTGGGTGTTTTGGGTCTTTTTCTTCCAACCCCAATCCTCAGCAGCATTTTTCCTTCACAGATTCTCACTCTCTTCGCTATGATTTCAACATTTCTTCTCATAAACAACCATGGTGCATGGTCCAAGGACAGATGGATGGAGAGAAGTACCTCTTATATGACTGTGGCAGCAATAAGGTCATATCTATGAATCTCCTGAGAGAGGAGGTAAAGGCCATGGATTCCTGTAAAGTAATGCTCAGTACCCTGACTGACATGGGAAATGAATTAAAACCATTACTGCCTGACATTAAACAGGAGAAAGACGCAGATGGAGGTAAGTTTGAAAAACTGAGGGCAGAAGTGAGCAGATTGTGGGGCCAGCTATGTGGATTGTATTCATTTAAAAAGAAAACTGGATGCTGGGCCTTTCTATGTAGCCCAGCAGAAAGGGCAGGGAGAGCAGGGTAGGGTTAGAAGTGTTCAGAACAGGTGGACACCAGTTGGGTGAAGCATTTGTCAAGACCAGAGGCTGATGTCTTTCCCATGGGGACTGTGGGGCAGCTCCTCTCCCCCTGCAGGTCAGGATGACGTGCCTGTGCAAAACCGATGGAAGCACCAGTGGATCCTTGGAGTTTTCCTTGGATGGAGAGAGGTTCCTTACCTTTGACTCTGAGACAGAGGAGTATAGAGTGGATAATTCTATAGGTGAACGGCTGAAAAAGAAGTGGGAGAATGATAAGGAATTGAAGAAATTCTTCAAAATGACCTTAAAGGGAGATTGCAAGGAATTGCTTCAATGCTTGGTGCACTGGAAGAAAGCGGTGGAGGCAACAGGTAACAGGGGAGACAGGGATGGTGTAGCTCTCTTGAGATAAGCTAGACCTACCCTGTGTGAATGTGTGTGTGTGTGTGTGGGGGGGGTGTATGTGTGTCTCAGTGTGTAAGCGTGTGTGGGTGTGAGTGTGTTTGAAAGGTGACTAATCTGCGGTGAGTTCTTGGGAGAGTCATGGCCATGGGTGTGTTCTACCATCTCTCCTTTCCCTTCTCATCTCCTCAGGAATCTGTTTTCAGACTTGTTCTTTACTGTTTCCTCTTCTTGGCATCGCTTTTCTTCTTCATCTCACCTGGCCTATTTCTGGAAATCCTTCAATATCACCTCAAAACAGCTCCTGGGAAGACTTCCCTACCACCTTCCTTGTGAGTGTCCTCTTCTGTCACAGCAGGAGTGACTGGGTGTATTATAACCCTTGCTTCCCTCATGAGCTTTATGGAACCAAGGGGGCAGTGCCCATCTTCTATCATTGATTTGTCACCCCAGGATCTGTCACTCTTGCTGTCACACATAGAGGGTAGATACCGTCTGCATAACAGGATTACCTGGTGCTGCAGGGGCTGAGGAGCCATCTTCTCAGAATTGGGTTCTGCACAGATGTCACTCTTGTGTTCCATTGCAGCTGTCAACCACTGCCACAGCCACAGTCCCATCCAAGGCCACAACCAACATGCCCATCGCCTGGTGGATCTGCCCTGTGATCCTCACCTGCGCAACCATAGTGGCATCCTAGGTAGGTCCTTGCAATTACAGTTACTGAGGGCAGGATTGAGTGGGAAGTGAGGGGCAGATGGCCTGCAGTGAGGACATGGAGAGGTGAATTCCCAGCCCGACCACTGCAACCTCAATGACACTTCTCCTCCTGGAAATTAGCCCAAGAGACCTACACGTATTATCACTTCACAGCCATAACTTGGACAAGCTCAGCCCTGAGTTGGGCATCTCCTCACTGTTAATGCCAGTGGGAAGGGGAAGGGCCCAGACCAAGCTTAAGGCCTGTGGATGCTGAAGGGGTTTAGAGAACTCAGTTCTGAATCAGATCCTCTGTTTGGAAAGGGTGTTTGGACCCAGTGTGGTGGTGTGGAGACAGCAGGCACACAGGGCATGGGCAGTGCTCACATTCAGGTGAGAGCCTCATGCTGGCTGCATGTGATGTGTCCAGGGGGAGGGGGATTACCCAGGGGGCTGAAAGGAGAGGGGCCAGGGTCTAATGTCAGGAAAAGGGCGGAATGCCTTGCAGACCCAACTCAAAATGCTGGAGTTCACCTCCGCCTTCCCAGAAAGTGGCTTCAAAAGAGCCAGAAAGGAGGGAGGCAAACAGTAAGGATGTTGTAGGGAGACAAGAGTAAGGTTAGAAGGGGCCAGTTCTCAGTGAACCCTTGGGATTGCTGGCTGAGCCCTGGTGCAGTCACCTGGCAGCCAGCCTCCTCCACACTCCAGATCCTGAGCCTCTGAATGCCTCCTGCCTTGAACTGGGGCTGACCATGAATGGGTGGGGAAGGGCGGGGACTTTCATACTGAGAGTTCCCTGTGCTGCTAGGTAAGAGGCTGGGAGAAAAAGGAAAAGAAAGGTGTTTGACTGCAACCTTCCCCAAGCTGTCAGGTGTTAGGATGCTCCCTTCTGAACATCAGAGCTCCCACCAGGTCCTTAGACCCTCCCACCCCCCAGAAGGTCCGACTTGAGTGAAAGAGAGAAGGCTAATGAGCCATTCATTACTCACTTTAGTCCTGAGCCCAGAACATCTGTAGCAGGGCTGAGGTGACGCTGTGATGTGCAAAGGGTGGGCAGAGCTTGGTGGGCTGCTGGTCCCAGGGCAGAGGTCGCGGATTCAGGGAAAAATGTGACTCTAGTGGGGCCAGGGCTGACAATGGGGAGATGCTGGGGTGCTGTAGCCCTAGGAGAACTGGCTCAGGATTTCCTCAGCAATGGGACCAACACTCGCCCTTTTCTTCAGGCTGTCGATGCGAACAAGGAGGCCCTGGAGGTGTGGACTAGCTCACACCTGGTGGTGTGACTCTGGCTTTTCCTTGGCTGCCTCTGGATGACCTGCTGTAATTTTTTTAAAGAATTCATTTAGTCCTGACCGGCTTGGCTCAGTGCCTAGAGCAGTGATGGCGAACCTTTTGAGCTCGGCGTGTCAGCATTTTGAAAACCCTAGGTTAACTCTGGTGCTGTGTCACATATAGAAATTTTTTGATATTTGCAACCATAGTAAAACAAAGATTTATATTTTTGATATTTTATATATTTAAATGCCATTTAACAAAGAGAAATCAACCAAATAAATGAATTCGCATGTCACTCTGACACGCGGGTCATATGTTCGCCATCACTGACCTAAAGCATTTGCCTGCAGACTGAAAGGTCCCAGGTTCGATTCTGGTCAAGGGCATGTACCTTGGTTGTGGGCACATCCCCAGTAGGAGGTGTGCAGGAGGCAGCTGATCGATGTTTCTCTCTCATTGATGTTTCTAACTCTCTATCTCTCTCCCTTCCTCTCTGTAAAAAATCAATAAAATATATTTAATAAATAAATAAATAAATAAATAATTAAATAAAAGAATAATTTATTAAAAAATTCATGTATCTTTTAAAAATCTTTATTGTTGCAAGCATTACATATGCTATTCATTTTATTTTATTTTTTTTGTTTATTGGCCTGGCAGGTTAATAAATTATATAGGGTTTAATTCTATGACACATCATCTGTGCACTGTATTGTGTGTTCACCACCCCAAGTCAAGTCTCCTTCCTTCACCATTTATCTCCTTCACCCTCGTCTACCTCCCAGGCCCCTTTACCTCTGATAATCACCATATTGTTGTCTGTCTATGAGTTTGTGGGGTTTGCTTATTCCTGGACTATTTTCACTCAGCTCCTCTCCCCTCTAACAGCTGTCAGTCTGTTCTCTGTATCTGTGAGTCTGTTTCTATTTTTTGTTGTTGTTAGCTTATTTTATTCTTTCTATTCTACATATAAGTGAGATCATATAGTATTTGTCTTTCTCTGACTGGCTTATTTCACTTAACATAATATTATCCAGGTCCATCCATGCTGTCACAAAAGGTAAGGTTTCCTACCTTTTTTACAGCTGAGTAGTATTCCATTGTTTAAATGTACCAGAGCTGTTTTATCCACTCATCTATTGTTGGGCATTTGGGTCTCTTTCCAATCTGGGCTGTTGTAAATAATGCCGCAATGAACACAGGGGTGAATACATTCTTTCCAATCAGTGTTTTGGGTTTCTTTGGATATATTCCCAGAAGTGGAAATGCTGGATCATATGGCAGTTCTATTTTTAATTGTTTGAGATATGGAGATTTGTTTCATAACCCAGTAGAGAATTCAGAGCATCTCACTGTTCCTCCATGTTATGAGGTAAATATTACCAGTGATTCTGCTAGAACGTCTTGTGGAAACAGAGAATGTAAGCGTCACTATTCAGTTAGCAGGCATCTTGTTTTGGTCTCAAACATTACCCTGATGCTCTGGATGAAAACAAATGTTCTGGGACTTAACCGATGAGAATCTTATGATTTTTCTAATTCCCCCACCCAACACGGTGACTTTCCTGTGATCCTTCCTCCCTGACTCACCTCCTCCAGTGAGAAGTATACCTTCATGGCAGAAACATCTGTACTTCTCAAAGTTGTTCAATCCCCTTACAACAAAGGATCAGTATCCGGAATATATAAAGAGCTCTTCCAAATATAAGTTACAACCTGTCAGATTCCTCCAAGTGCAGGATAAAGGATGTGAAGAGTTTATAGAGGTAAAATGCACTTTGAAATGATTGAAAATCTCACAAATAATCAATATAATACAAATGAAAAGTATAAGAGATACCCTTACACATCCATGAAATTGTCAAATATTTTAAAATATATTAACCCTAATCACTGGACAGGAAATAAAACAACAGGAATTCTGTGCTGTGCATGGTTGTTATGTCTATGAATTGAATCAACCCTGTGAAATATAATCTATACTAATAAAAGGGTAATATGCTAATTAGACTGGACATCTTCTCGACGTCCTTCCGGATAAAGCCATGGTGGTGGGGGCTGAGGCAGAGGCAATTAGGGGTGAGCAGGCCAACAGGGGAGAGCAGTTAGGGCGATCAGGCTGGCAGGCAGGTGAGCAGTTAGGAGCCAGTGGGCCTGGATTGTGAGAGGGATTTCCGGCTGCCAGTTTAGGCCCGGTCTTCCCAGGGTCCCGGATCGGAGAGGGTGCAGGCCAGTCTGAGGGGACCCCACCTGTGCATGAATTTTGTGCACCAGGCCTCTAGTCTCTCTATATTAATCTATGTATAAAAACCCTAGTATGCAAATAGACTGAACAGTAGAACAACCAAACAACCGGTTGCTATGATGTGCGTTGACCACCCGGGGGCTCACATAGAACATGGTGGGCGTCCGCTGCAGTGGGACAGTAGAGCAGGTGAGCGAGTGCGCCAGACCAAGGCGTGGCACCGGTCGCTGTCATTGAGGTGAGCCTCTGGTGGTTAACTGAAAATTCTTTGCTCCCGCACATTGCAGTTCTGCTAGGCACTCACACCTGCTGCTGGCGCTGGCCCGGCTGCACCTGTTGCTGGTGCTGGAGCCACCTCTTGCAACTGCAGTCAGCGCCAGGCGCTGGCCCTGATCACTTGGCACCATCAGTGGGTGCGAGTGGTGGCTGCTGGCCCTCATCAACCCTCAGGGCTTCTAAACCTCCCCCTGCTCCTGAGGAGTGATCTGGGCAGCAGCCTTCACTCACATCTGCTGCTGGCACGGGCCCCAATTGCTCAGTGCTGTCAGCAGCTGTCAGTGTGGGCTGATGGTAGGGGACCAGGGGGCTGTGGTGGGAGGTGCTGGGAGGGGACATGGAGGATGGGCCAAGACCCGCCCCTGTGCCCACTGCAGCCTCACGGTCCACAGTTCCTTTCAAGGTGCACGAATTCGTGCACTGGGCCCCTAGTGTAATAATATCTAGTACAGTGGACTATATGTTCTTCCTACAACTTGGCAATCTGAGTGTTAGTTCCAGTCTTAAAAACTTGGACCAGAAAGTATGTGGATACTATATGGTTTTTTTTAAATCATAGTATTGTTTTTCATAGCAAAAAAATTAGCAACAGGTTAAATATCCAGAAAAGGAAAATCTATTGACAATGTTGGCAAAATAGTTTAATTTCTCTCTACCTGACAGACAAAACAATCTAAACCGCTGTGAAAAAATGAAACAACCAAATTGCTGGATGAAAACATTCTAAATCGTTCAAATATATTAACGATGACTTCTGGTTGTCCCACAAGGATAGTGGCCATCCGAATACAAATCTCTCCACATATTTAAAAAAGTATACAAACAATAGAAGAGGCAAATAAAAGACTAGTAAACCACAACTTGAGCATAACAAGGAGATGGGAAATATTTAAATCTGTTCGACCCTTTCCTGGATGTCACTGGTGAGTAGAGAACATTCTTGGTCAAACTTGATGGGAACTAAGGATACGATGGTACTAATGTACTGATGTGGAGTCTACTTTGATGATTGTATTGGAGTGATATAAGAGTGCCCCAATTTTTAGGAAATACTAGAGAATGCAGCAGTGATGGGATTTTGCAGCTCACTCCCTGATAGTTTAGGAGAGTTGTACTGAAGTTTGGGGCTCACCTCCCTGGACATGTGTGGCCCAACATCCCTGACTCCAATGGTGCAATGCCTCTTCCACTGCTCATTGCTCTGAATACTGGGATATCCCCAGTGGTGAAACCCCAGTCACATCTTTGTGGGTCCTGAGTTCTGGGTAGGTCTTAGTCTATTGTGAGGACTGGGGGAGCCCCTGAACCCCACCTTGTCTTCATCTACTGAGCCCTGTCTTCACTCACATGAGAGAAATAGACAAAACCTCCTATTCCACACATTGAAAATATCAGAAGTGTTTTATTGCCCCTTCTATTGTCCAGACCTGAGCCACCTCTCAAATCTGCCATCTATTACTAGAAAGAGAAGCCACGATCCAATGAGAACTCATGTCAAATCAACAAGTGCAAAGGTTCTGGCCTTTCCCAAAGAGGCTCATGGCCATTGACTGGGGTATGTGGCCACTGGAAACAGATAATACCCTGACATTCATATTTGTATGTTCTGTTTATATTCTCTTTTTCTTACACACACACACACCCCTTCACCTGAGGATGTTTATTGATTTGAGAGAGAGAGAGAGAGAGAGAGAGAGAGAGAGAGAGAGAGAGGAGATATCATTTGCTTTCCATAAGTGCCCCAAGTGGGGATTAAACCCACAACCTTTTGATCTAAGGGACAATGCTCCAATCAACTGAGCCATCCAGCCAGTGCTTTTTAGAGACTTTTTTTCTTTTCTTTTGAATTCTTCTTTGACTCATTGGCTGTTTGGAGTTTAATTTTCACATATTTGTTGTTGATTTCTAGTTTCATACCATTGTTGCTGGAAAAGACACTTGGGTGATTTCAATCTTCCTAAATTTGCTAAGACCTCTTTTGTGTCCTGTCACACTGTATATCCTGGACGATGACTGGTGTGTACTTTAGAAGACTATGTATTCTGCCTCTGTTGGATGAAATTTTCTATAAATGTCTATTAGGTCTATTTGATCTAACGTACAGTTCGCATTCATTGTTTCTTTGTAGATTTTCTGTCTGGATGATCTCTCCATTGCTGAGAGTGTGTTATTGAAGTCCTCTCCTTAAAAAAAAATCCATGATGCATCTATCTATCTATCTATCTATCTATCTATCTATCTATCTTCTATTCCTCACCTAAGGACATGCTTAGAGGGAGACAGGGAAAGAGAGAGAGGGAAACATTGATCAGTTGCCTTCTGTATATACCCTGACAGGGGATGGAACATACAATCCATGTATGTGTCCTGACCGGGAATCGAAACTGCAACCTTTGGGTATATAGGACGATGCTAAAGTAACTGAGCCACGCCAACTGGGCAAGTCCCCTGCTATTATTATATTGTTGTCTATTTCTCCCTTCATATTTATTAGTATTTGCTTAATATACGTAGGTCCCCATATGGTTCCATACATACCCGTAATTTTAATATGTTCTCTATGAATTGACCATTATATAAAGATCATTATATGAAGATCTTCGGTGTCTCTTGTTACTGTTTTTGGCTTAAAGTGTATTTA